TAGTTCGAATCAAACACCTTGGTTCGAACTAACGTTACTCCTCATTCATCAGTAAGAGGATTGAACTATTAACCCTACACAATGTAGCCCTGGAATTCTCTAAGTCTATGCTGTTTGGTCAAGACTGACAACCCGTGAGAGTGTTCTTTGCTGTTCTGCTGTAGTGCTACCTTGGCTTTCTCATTGTCTGATCCTCTAACCAGAACAGCAACATCAGCCATTGGGCTATTTCCACAGCTATATTGTGAAATGATTACCAGAAGTCACTGAGCGGCTGTCTGCTTGCTCACTACACTACAGAGAGCCATTTGGAAAAGTATTAACAGAACCCACAGTTCACTTCTTAGAAGTGGCTGTAGCAAGTATGATGAGTAAAGTTTAACAGCACTTCACATTCAAGTATTATTTTTCATCTCAAGATCTTGAAGTATCTAACAAAAAAAAGCTGTTACAGGTGGGAAATCTGGAGTACAAAAAGTGTAGATACCTCACCCAAGGGTTACACAGTGAATCTATGGCAAAGCCAGGGTACTCTCTCATCCCAGTCTTGCATGGTGGGATTTTTTTCTCCAAAGATTCCTCTCATTTTGGAATTTAACCATTGATAAAGTTTGTCAGATTATTGATAGATGCCTTCACAGAACAGAGATATAAAGGGCATCAGATGTAAAAATAAAGTTTAGGATGTTATAGAAGCAAACTTCATTCTGGGGAAAGATGACAAGTCGAGAGCTCTAGAGATTTGGGGACAGATCCTCAAATGGCGTAAGCTGTCATAGTTCCATTGACTTAATTCTTCCATCCACAGAACAAGTACAACATAAGCAGTGGCAATGCATTCTTCACACTGTTCTAGCCGCATGCCTCCACCCAGTTCTATTGGGACCACCTCTATGATATGGAGAGTAGCTCAGTTTCCATGCCCACTGATTCTGCCAGAAAGATTACAAATGCGATAATGGATTTTGTTTTGTGAACAACCATTTGTCTTCTAGGAACTGGACTGAAACACCAAGTTCATTGTAGCTAGACACCCCGCACCCCAGAAGCTGTTTGATAACATGTTTTTCATTCAATAACCAATGGGGCTTAATGTGAACTAGAGGATAATGGCTCCATAGCACCAGTTTCTTGAACTATTGAGTGTCGTGCCCCACAAAAACACTCTGAATGTACAAACTCAAGTGGGCAAAAAGTGCAAACAGACTGTTTCTCACTCTTCTCCCCTCACACACCTCCATGTAGTATCAGGTTCTTTATTTCTCTATCTACTGAAGTATCAGAGGAGGCTTTTGCTGCATATTAGAGATATGAGGTCTTTTCCCAGATACTTGGCAGGATGATTTTACAGGGACAGCTTCCTATATTCACGATTACAGACAGTCCCCGACTTACGTGGATCCGACTTATGTCGGATCCGCACTTACGAACGGGGCTTTTCTCGCCCCGGAGCTCGCAGGCGGCTCCGGGGCGAGAAAAGCTGCTCCGGGTCTCCCTGGTGTGCTGGGGGGGACTCCCCAGCACAGCAGGGAGACCCGAGCAAAGCCGCACAGGCGGCGGGGTCCTCCGCCTCCGAGGCTTTGCTCGGGTATCCCTGGTCTGCTGGGGGGGAGGGGGCACAGCTAGTGCGCCCCCTCCCCCAGCAGACCAGGCTTTTGTTGCGGGATGCCTGGGGTAGAGCAGCTGGGGTGCTGCCGGGTTGGTCCTGCGGGGACCTACTCGGCAGTGCCGCAGCTGTTCTGTCCCAGGAGTCCAGATTCAGCCGCTGTTGAAACTGATCAGCGGCTGATTCCAGGAAGCCGGGGGCAGAGCAACTCTGCCTAGGGCTTCCTGTAGTCAGCCGCTGATCAGTTTCAGCAGTGGCTGAATCTGGACGCCAGTTCCGACTTACATACAAATTCAACTTAAGAACAAACCTATAGTCCCTATCTTGTATGTAACCTGGGGACTGCCTGTATGTGCACCTATTACTCCCACCCCCAACCTAATTTTTCACACTTGCTATCTGGTCACCTTACATGTCTGGTGGGTTTTGCTCACATGCTCCAGGTCTCACTGATTTCCATAATCAGGGTTAGAAAGGAATCTTCCCGTGTCAGATTGACAGGAATCTCGAGATATTTTCACTTTCCTCTGCAGCAGGGGACCCAGGTTTACTTAATAGGTTCATTTCAGCAAATCAATTCCCTGCCACCATAGGGGTTTTGTTCCCATCCTGTCTCTGCCTTTGGCACACAAGACTTAGTGTCCTAAAACTGCAATACTTTAGTCTAACGCTGTTGATCAGATTTAGTATGCAAGTGCAGGGTAGTAATGGTGGCCTATGGTCTACAGATCAGACTAGTTGATCTCATCCCAACCTTATCCTCCATGATGCTAAGATATGAAAGTAGATCTGGTTGAAAATATTTTTATAGAAATTTGTACTAACAAAAATGTCATTTTATCAAAATTGAAACATTTCACGATAGGTATAAATGTTCATGAAATTTTTAAGGGGAGTATAAACATTTGCCTCCTCCTGCACTTGGCCCACTGCCTCAGTTTCCCTCTTCATTCTATAAGTAAACATAGTACAACCTTCAGAATATATAAATAGTCCTTTTAGTAGGATTCTTTGTCAGAAGTCCTACTATAAACCAGAATCCCCATGACAGAATCCAAATAATATTTCCTTCAAAAGTCCAACAGCAAATTCAACATGGGCATCTCTCACTATATCCCAGCTCATCTTTCAGGTACCGCTCCAACTCTTGTCTGGAGTCTTTCCATCTAACATCCCCTTGTCTTCAATCTCCCTTCCTAGCCCCTCCTGCTTCTGCTCTCCAGCAGGTGTTTACCTCTGCTGCTCTCTGTCTTCAGCCCTCTAGACCTGGGGAAATCTGTAGGGGATCTGACTGCAAACACTTGACTGAGTCCTGCTTTCAACAACCTGATTTGGCTCTACTACTCAGTCAGGGAACTTTCACTACTCCCTCCTCCAAGGTATCCCCTTCCTGCAGCTCTCAGCCTAGCTCTGCTCTTCTGAGCTCTCAGGATTCACTCCCTTTCCCCCCACTCTACCTTCTGTCCACTCCCTCAGGTTTCTGGATCCTGAATACCCCTCTGAGGTGTGTGAACAGCTCTTTATAACTCCTTCCAGAGCTCCACCTCTTCATTACAGCATGCTAGGGCACACCTGAGCTGGAAAGGGGTGAGCTGAGTCCAATTTCATTTAAGAAACAAGTTACCCCATTACAGAAGGAGGGAGGAGCTGATATGACTTGCTTCAACTTTTTCATTGCATTTTACTTGTTATTTGATAAATTCCATTTAAACATATTTAATATGCTAGATTATACTGTTCGTGCATTATCAAAGGAAATGCTCTGATGTTTTCATGCTGAATTTTTAGAATTTCCTTGAGAAAATTTGACTTTTCATTTTCATTTGAAACATAAACAGTTTTCAACATATCAGAATTTCCAGCAGAACAGAAATTCTGTGTTCGGACCAGGACACTCTGTTAATGCTAAAGATATGCTGTGATTTTATAGTTCAGTCTGATTGCAACAGTTTCTTCTGCCTAGTCCTAGTAAATAAATAATGTGAGTAGGAATGCTCAGTCAGAGCTTGTTGAAGGAAGTGTACTCCTATGGGGAGTTCTCTTTTATGGCCATGACACATTTCCTCCTAAAATTTAGCTTATTGAATTTCTCTTTGATTTCCTTTGCTGACTGTGCTTGTCAGAAAGAAACATGTAGCTTAATATCTCTAAGGCAAAAAGAACCTTCACAAAGTTGAGGAAGCAGTACTAACTAAGGTCGTAGCAGAGAGAAAGGGTGGAGGAAAAAAATCTCTTCTGACTTTCCCCACTTTAATGCCTGTACAGGATAGAATCCTGGAAACTGCAAACATCTGAATGTAAAGAACTGTATCTTTCTCTTAATGTGTCCATATCCTCCTCTCCAAACAAACTATACCACATTCCACATAGTATCCTGCAGAATAGCGTAGTATTTCTTCATTTTTGAGGGTTGCTGCACACAATAGACTGCACAGGTTGGTTGGACTTTGATCTCTCATAAATCTCAACACAAGACACTAGTCTAGTCCTCATTTTGGAAACTGTTTGTGTGCGGAGAGGGCAGGGATTTATACCAGGGCTGCTTGTTCTTCCCCTTCCTGTCCCTGTCAGGGGGTTTGTCTACACTACAGAGGTTTTTTTGGAAAAACGTCCATTTTTCTGAAAAAACGTCAATTACATCCACACTGCAATCACATTCTTCTGAAAAAAATTGAAAGGACAGAGGGGTTTTCCCAGCATCGGTAATCCTTTTTCTACGAGGAAGAAGCCTTTTTCCGAAAGAGCTCTTTTGTAAAAAGGCGTGTGTGGATGGGGAAAAGGGAGTTCTTTTGGAAGAAGAGGAAAGAGGAAAAAGCACAGGTGCCATGGTAGCCACTATGTCCATAGTAATCATAGTTTAAATGTGAGATAGCGTCCATTTAGTGTGGACGCTATCTTTCGAAAAAGCAGATTGCTTTTTCAACGAGCTTTAGCAGTGTGGATGTGCTCATTCAGAAGAAATTTTTTCGGAAGATCTCATCTTCTGAAAGAAGCCTACAGTCTAGATATAGCCAGGAAGTGAGAGCAAAGTGCACAACTAGTCTGCCTCCTGTGCTCCCCAAGCACAGTGATGAATGCAACAAACTATGCACTTTCCCCTGGCTCCCTGATGAAGGGGAACAGCCAACAAAGTCCCTGTACACATCTTGGGGTGGAGAGAGCTTCAGCATAAAGGGCACCTGGGGGTGGGAGGCTTAGTGTTGGGAGAATCCCAGATGGGGGGTGCCCCCAAGCAGCCTATTTCACCTCACTGATGATTCTGTCTGTTTTCTGGATGGTTTTATGAGAAGCAATCCCATTCTAGGCATATCCCATTTTCCTGGCACAACCAACCCCTTATGTTGCTTTAAGTTATTGTAAGAGGAAACTGTATACCTAATTTGGTGGTCCTAGCTCTTATCTTTTTGGTGGAGTTCTTGAGAGGGCCAATCTCTCTCAAATATATAGTAGAGTGGTGTTTCCTCCGTAACGCATCCAAATGCTGTCAAAGGTTCTTTAAACTGGCAACAGTGGGGGAAAAGATCTGATTAGCATCACTTACAACAGTAAATAAGAAAACCACAAAGTGTCCCAATAAGCTGCCGAAGATGGCTATCAGTGAAGTTCATGATAGGAATGTCTTGTTGAAGAACCACAATAGGTGTGGCTGCTCCATCTGAAATAGAAACACAAGAAGAAAGATTGATCTGTGTGTGATCTGTGTCACACACACCCCCGCCCCCAAAAATAAACAAAAGAAAAAACGTTCTATGGAAATCCCTAGTAACGAGGCATCAGAGGGCTGCCCCATTTTCCTGGTATAGTTAATAGAACGTTGGACCACAGAAATAAAATTAAGCCTTAAATAGGGATCTACCAAATTCTCGGAAGTGAAAAACGAGTCGTGGACCATGAAATCTGGTTTCTCCCTGCGGAAAGATTACTATAAATTACTATAAAGATTTCATGGGGAGACCAGTGTTTCTCAAATTGGGGTCCTGACCCAAAAGGGAGTTGCAGATGGGGTCACGGGGTTATTTTAGGGGGGATTATGGTATTGCCATCCTTGTTTTGGCATGGCCTTCAGAGCTGGGCAGCCTGAGAATGGGGGATGCTAACCGAGGGTCCAACTCCGCAGGCAGCAGCGCAGCTGTAAAAGTGGCAATACCATATCAAGCCATTCTTACTTCTGCACTGCTGGTGCTGGTGGTGGCTCTGCCTTCAGATCCGGGCACCAAGCCAGCAGCCACCAAGCTCCAGCTGCCCAGTTCTGAAGGCAGCCCCACCAGCCGCAGCACAGAAGTAAAGAGAGCAGTACTGCGCCCAAAACTCTGTCCTTTCCCACCCCCGCACACACATACACAAAACTCCTTTTTAGGTCAAGAGCTCTACATTTACAACACTGGGAAATTTGAGACGGAAAAGCTGAATTTATGAAATTTACCCTTTTAAAAATCTGTGTTGCTCCATGCTGGGGGCAGGGGAGGGAGCATCCTCCCCAGCTGTGGCTGCTCAGTGCGGAGGAAGGGTGCCTCCCGTTGGCCCTGGCATGGCACCCAACCTGGAGTTGTGCTTTAGCTGCCACTGCCAGGGCTCGGGGAGGCAACCTACTCCCCTGGCCCCAGCACTGAGTAGCCACAGCTGGGGAGGATACCCCCATCCCTGCCCCAGCATAGAGCAACACAGCCTACACAGCCTAACCTGGACTAGCGTGAGAGGGCTGGAGCTCATGCTCTCACCTCAGGGCAACCTACACACCAAACCTCCCATCCCCAGCCGGAGCCCTCACATCCCTGCACTACAACCCTCTGCCCCTGGACTGATCCCCTCCACCATATGCACCTCCATATTGGTGCACATAACATAATTCATTCCACTCTGGAGTGAGAAAAATTACAGGGAACACAGCTCGGGGGGGGGGGGGGGGGGGGGGCAAAAAAAAGAAGAGAACAAATTAAGTGTCAAACCAAGCTGAAACTAAACATTTCAAATCAGTTACACAAATCAAAATAAAATATTCTGACATTCCCAAATTTAAGTTTTTTCTAAACTTTCTAGTAAGGAAAAATTCAGTATTCTGACTTTTTGTCCTTATTCAGAATAAAAAAAATTAGAAATACCAGAATTTCCTGTGGCATAAACAATCTGATTTTTTTATCTCTATCAGTAGTAGTTTAGTAGGTTCCTCAGTTCTACTGCACTTAGGCCTTTTGCATATATGAAAGCAACAAATTGGGGGGGGAGGGGTAGTGCAAAAAAATGTTTCTTAAAGCTATTATTTCTATTTGTGTGCAGACTCAAGACCACTGCCTCTCATTCAGAAGCACATCTTCACACTCCGGAGGGCTAACCACTTTTTCTTTTTTAAAGTAAGTGACATTTAGCAGAAAATAATGAAATCTACAGAAAGTCTGTAAATCTATGGCAAAGGGTAGGCAGAATTTTTGTGAGATATAAGCTATGATTCTAGCTACTTCTACAAGTTAAATTAAATCCAGGGTGAATAATATTCTTACTCACAATAGGAGTGGCATTTGCATTATATTTCACAAACCCTTCTTTTGCTTATTACATTTAAAAAAAAAAAGATTTCTCCTCATGTAAGCAATTCCCCCAAAGAACAGGTTTTTATAATAAAAGTGACTGTGAGTGGTTGATGATTTTTATGTTATTTCAATAAATAATGTGAATCACCTACCAAAGTCTCAGTTTTATTTAATTATTAAACAGTGCAGCCTTTCTTCTGATTTTTGAAATGGTCTGAGTGGAACTGTTACTTTACACTGGTTTTTCAGGAGACCTTGGCATATTACCAGAACACCGCACTGTAATACATGCAGATGGTACATGAGTTTACTTGCTCTTTCTGTCCAAGGGTCGCCACACTGTGTGTGCTGCATATGCTATTAAAGGTATCAAATGTTTATGCAGATGTACGGCAGTGTTGGATTTGCTGTAAGTGCAATGCAAAAAATGTAAAATAGCGGCCTAGAATAAAACACTTTTCACTATAAAAAGTTTGATCATACTTTCACAGGTGGTAGTTGCTGGGATCTTTGTTCAAGTTCGAGTAATGCAAGACAGCTTCCTTCTCTTGATGTCTTTGGTAAAATGGTGTCGTAAAAGAAAATAGAGAGAGCAGACAATTTTTTCCACTCAGTTCTTTCCTTACTACATACAATATACTGTAAAGAGTTATTTTGTAAATTATGTTAGTAAATTTTTACTTTCCACTTTCTTTTTGTTGTAACTTGCTAGGCCAATTATACCAATCGAGAATATTGCCCCAGTCTCTTATAGGGCCATCCATCTGACAGGAAGGCAATACTTTTCCCATAGGAAGCAGAGACAACCTTAAACATTTTTTGGGTGACATGCAAAATAGTTTACATTGTCAGCACTTCCAACGAATGGTGTAATGAGGATGGGGAGGCCAATTTGCTAGCAGCATTTTGTAGCAAGTAGCCTGGGCAAATGAGTTATATAAAGGGTAAAATTGATATCACAAGTTCATGGCCTCCATCCCAAACCAGTGGTGGTTGGGAAACATAATTCAGATCTCACCATGAAGTACTGGTGATTGTCAGAGAGTAGCTGTGTTGGGACTCAGACATGTACAGTGAGAGTTAAACGGTTTATTCATTGCAATGGATAGTCTCAGCCTCCCTGGCTAGGTGGCCTCTTTGGTGTATACTCCAGGGAGGTACACATAGCTGGTCCCTCTTATGTGAGGGAAGGGAGTAAGGCAAGTCATCCCCCCCTACTATATAAATTGCAAAAACTATCTGACTTCAAAGAGCAGTTATTGTAATAAATCTGTGGGCTGATTTATATTACATTGGATGTATTTTCCTTCTGTTATGCCTGGAAAGGTGCCTTTGTTATTGTCATTTGAGATGTAGCTCTACATTCTCATTAAAGGCAATGGCAGTTTGTACAGAATCCAATGGGTGCAGGGTCAGGCTATAGCCTAGGAAAGGCTCGGCTTGTCTGACTTCGTCTGGTTTAATGGGTATTCAGTAGACGTCTCCATTGGGATATCTCCTATAGATGTGAACTATTTTTCAGGTCCACACTACTCTTATAGAATCATAGAATCATAGGACTGGAAGGGACCTCGAGAGGTCATTGAGTCCAGCCCCCCACCCTCAAGGCAGGACCAAGCTCCATCTACACCATCTCTGACAGATGTCTATCTAACCTGTTCTTAAATATCTCCAGAGAGGGAGATTCCACCACCTCCCTTGGCAATTTATTCCAATATTTGACCACCCTGACAGTTAGGAATTTTTTCCTAATGTCCAATCTAAACCTCCCTTGCTGCACTTTAAGCCCATTACTCCTTGTCCTGTCCTCAGAAACCAAGAGGAACAAATTTTCGCCTTCCTCCTTGTGACACCCTTTTAGATATTTGAAAACCACTATCATGTCCCCCCTTAATCTTCTTTTTTCCAAACTAAACAAGCCCAGTTCATGAAGCCTGGCTTCATAGGTCATGCTCTCTAGACCTTTAATCATTCTTGTCACTCTTCTCTGTACCCTTTCCAATTTCTCCACATCTTTCTTGAAATGTGGCACCCAGAACTGGACACAGTACTCCAGCTGAGGCCTAACTAGTGCAGAATAGAGCGGCAGAATGACTTCACGAGTTTTGCTTACAACACACCTGTTGATACAACCTAGAATCATATTTGCTTTTTTTGCAACAGCATCACACTGTTGACTCATATTCAACTTGTGGTCCACTATGACCCCTAGATCCCTTTCCGCCATGCTCCTTCCTAGACAGTCGCTTCCCATCTTGTATGTATGGAACTGATTGTTCCTTCCTAAGTGGAGCACTCTGCATTTCTCCTTATTAAACCTCATCCTGTTTACCTCTGACCATTTCTCTAACTTGCTAAGGTCATTTTGAATTATGTCCCTATCCTCCAAAGAAGTTGCAACCCCACCCAGTTTGGTATCATCCGCAAACTTAATAAGCGTACTCTCTATCCCAATATCTACATCATTGATGAAGATATTGAACAGTACGGGTCCCAAAACAGACCCTTGAGGAACTCCACTTGTTATCCCTTTCCAGCAGGATTTAGAACCGTTAACAACAACTCTCTGACTACGGTTATCCAGCCAATTATGCACCCACCTTATCGTGGCCCTATCTAAGTTATATTTGCCTAGTTTATCAATAAGAATATCATGCGAGACCGTATCAAATGCCTTACTAAAGTCTAGGTATATGACATCCACCGCTTCTCCCTTATCCACAAGGCTCGTTATCCTATCAAAGAAAGCTATCAGATTAGTTTGGCATGACTTGTTCTTCACAAACCCATGCTGGCTATTCCCTATCACTTTATTACCTTCCAAGTGTTTGCATATGATTTCCTTAATTACCTGCTCCATTATCTTCCCTGGGACAGACGTTAAACTGACCGGTCTATAATTTCCTGGGTTGTTCTTATTCCCCTTTTTATAGATGGGCACAATATTTGCCCTTTTCCAGTCTTCTGGAATCTCCCCTGTCTGCCATGATTTTTCAAAGATCATAGCTAAAGGCTCAGATACCTCCTCTATCAGCTCCTTGAGTATCCTGGGATGCATTTCATCAGGACCTGGTGACTTGCTGACATCTAACTTTCCTAAGTGATTTTTAACTTGTTCTTTGTGTATCCT